TGACTGGCTTTTTGCCAGTTCATAACCGTTAGAAACCAGCCAGAAGGGAAAGGGCCTGGCTGGATAGAAAGGAGGCCTTTGTAGTGAACCTGTGTTTAGGATGCACTTGTCCTGGACCCTTCAAGAGCTCACTGCTGTCCTTTGTTCCACTGAGGATTTCAGCAGCAGGATCCCTGTGTACAGTTATGTTCCCTGCTCATGACATAATGCTGGGCATAGGCACTGCTTTCTGGTGTTACTTGCCGATCCACACAACTCCCCCAGGTAGAGTGTCTCTTTTGCTGCCCTCTCCCCGGCACTTCAGGCTAGTGTTGTTTGGAAGCAGATAGCTGTTTTCCAGATAAAGATCCTACTATATCCGCCTTGGTTAAGGGTAGAGTTAAAATCCAAACTTGGCTCCTGGGCTGGTGCTTCCTGTGGGATATATTTTCCTTCATAAAAGCACAGGATACCACACAGCAGTTTCCTTGTTCTGCCTCTGCCAGCTGTGGGAGTTGCCCTGTTCCATAGGTACTTCGAGGTTTAGTCTGTGCCGTGGTGTTTCGCCATCACAGCTTTTGAGCTCACACCAAAACTCCCTGGTGGTGGTAGAGCCCTCCTTTCCCTGACAGCTGCTCCCCTTCACATCAGCCAGCAGATGTGGGAAGATAGTCCTGCATCACCTTCTGGCTAGCGCGGTCCCTTCAAAAGCTGGCATCTTCCCAGAATGCACTCTGCAGTGTGGCAGCACAGCTGCTGCATGGAGCTGACAGAAATCTGTGCTGTGTGCTCGGGTGGTGGCAGCTGCTGTCGTCTGCCAGAGCATGGTGAGCAATCACGAACTGCTGAGGGGAATGATATAGGCTGGCGCGTCCCAGCCCATTTTCCTCCCTATCCTACGCTTTTCCCTGCCCTAGATGGAAGCTGTCATATGCAGCCTATGCTCTTTGTCCCTGCACTAGTTCCAAGGTCAAGCTACAGCATTTCAGGCACTCATCCTTGCCTCATTTTGGGCTGCCTTATCTGGCTGCAACAGTTGCTTTTCACGGTGCAACACTTTGAATGCTCCATGCCCATGGCAGGTGTTCTCGCAGAACCAAGAACAGGTCTCTGGGATGTGCAGAACAAAGCAGCCTTTGTAACCCGCATCAGTGTGAAGAGGGGAAAGACGAGGCTGGTACCCCAGCCCAGCCACCAATCCCAAGGGCTGCACTCTGGCCCCTAGTAGTCCCTGATGACACGAGCAGCAGTGAAACAGTTAAGTGTTGGCATAAATAGCCCTTACTAAGTTTCAGAATCAACACCACCGCCTCTGTGTAGCTGGAGTAGTCCCTACCTGTTGTAGCCACTGTTTGAAGACTAGCACTGTGTTGCTCTGTTGAAGATTCCTTCACTAGCTAAAAGCTTTTGTAACAAAAGCTCAAATTCTTTGGAAACTCGGGGAGCCTGTGAGGGAAGTGGCTGTGCACGCTGGCTCTGTCCATCCCTGTTCATGCAGCATGGTGCTCTGTTGGGGGAGAAATTTTTGTGCATGCGAGATACAGACTGGAAGGTCCGTGCATGTGTATGGTGTGTAAGGCTGTTCATTCTCACAGCTCACTGTACCGGGATTATGTGGTCATGCTCAGCTGGGGGCTGGACAGATTTTTGTGTCTCCCATAACAGACACAACATTTTAAGGCCATGCAATCAGCCCAAAGGTGGTAGTAAAATATACACAACAAGCCTCGGTCACCTTGTCTGACACAATTCTCTGCTGCCCCATGTAGTGTTTAATGACACTGATCTCAGGATTCTGCCTTGCGATGCTTGGGTTGTTGTTTATGTTCAGTTTACAACCTCGGGCCCCTGGTTCCTGACAAGCAGGGCCTGGATGGCATCTCTCTTTCCCCTCTGCCCTAGAAGCCAGTAATATCCGTGCTCTAGTGCATCCAAAGATCCTCTTCACAAGCTCCAGCTGGAACCCAGAGGAGTGTTTGGTTGCTCAGAAACCAGCTGGCTAAATGAGAAGCTGTGTCGGAGGAAAAGAGGGCATCCCGGTCCATGGGGCAGAGGGAAGGGAAGGGAAGGGAAGGGAAGAGTCTGGCTCCAGACACTCAGGAAAGTGCTGAGAGTGGAGATGTGGTTACAAGTGGATAGCTCTGCAGTCTGGCTGCTCGCAGTCCATCTGGGTTTAGGCACATGCTTACACCCACTTGTCCTGCAGCAGTGACAGACTCAATTGGGCAGCAGTGCTGTCTACCTAGGATGGCCATCATAGCGGACAATCCGGTTTTCTGCTACTCTGTCCTCTATTGATACAAAACCTGACGCCTTTATGTCCTCTGTTTTTCTCGTCAAGAGAAAAATAGAGGGCATGAAGGCGTCCGGTTTCATATCAATAGAGGACAACTGGACCGTCCTCTATGATGGCCACCCTATGTGTACCTCAGGGGACCTTGGATTATTTTAACTAGCTATAGGCCCCTTCCCCTTGGCTCGTCAGAGCTCCCCATGGCCCCACATTTGGGTGCTCTGCTTTATCTGGTTTTTAAAGTGGGCACAAGTTGCCTTGGAGATTACAGCAGTTCAGACCATAAAACTTGGCTTGGCCTAAACTAATCCAGTTTGTCTTCATTAGGCCAGGCCTCAGGCATAATCTGCTTTCTCTGGCAGGATTCAGGTGTGTGGTTGGTTGGATATGCTTGGTGCTGGATGGTGGGGGTGCTTCTAACAAGCACTGTGTCCTGGAGGAAGGCGCAATATGGGCCATGCCCCAAATCCAGGTGACTTAATATGCTGTAGCATATGCATGGAGCCAGACTCTCAGTTGAGGGAAGAAAGAGGAAAGATACCACAGAAATCTTCAGCAGCAGGGGAATGGAGGAATGGGATATATAGTCCTGTACCTGCAGAAAGGAATTTGGGACTGAAAGGGCCTTCCTGGACCATGGAGTCCCATAGAGTTAGTCCTGGTCTTGCCCCATGACTCCCTTGGGAAGGCTGTTCTAGAGCTCCACCATTCTGAAAGGCCTGGGACTAAATAATTCATCGCATGGCAGTGGCACTAGAGAAGCCAAAGGGTATGAATGCCTGGAGTGTCTGGCAGCTTTTGCCTTTGCTAATAGAGTCCAGAGTTGGCTTTGACTGCAAATGTGCTTGTGCAAAACTCCCATTCAATTCCCAGCCTACTGGGAAGAAGGGAGAGAGTTCCCATTGTGCTACTACACAGCTCCCACCCTGAGCATGAAATAATGGTTGCTTTGTGCCCAGGATAGACCAGACCTTTAAGAAGGCTGCTTAACTCTTTGCATACGAAGCCAACTTACATAGCTTTGAGGAGTATCCTTTTGTAAACTGGTGTGTGGACTGTCTCTTTGTCTGGCCTGTTTGTCGATGGGTTGTATTTAGGGAATGCTTCTTACCTGCCATAGAACAGCTGGACAGGTGGCATTGGCTTCTGAGGAGCTGTACATGACAGAGCAGGTCTGACTTGTTGGATTTAGATAGTCCTGTCTAGCTGTGAATTTGATTCCAGGTGACTAGACCATGATGTGCACATGTGTACTTGTTGGGCAGTGGAGAGGAGTGGAGGTTGCAATGGAAAGGTGGGTGTAATTCTAGTGGCAGCTCACAGGGTTTGAGAAGAGAACAGCTGTAGAGCCCTCGGTATAGCTGCAACTGTCAAAAACCACATACAGCTCACAGACCTTGAGCTTTGGAAGTGGAGCCCAACCAGGCCCATTCCCAGAAGCTGACAGTTAACCGTTCTGAGTGACCACATTCCCCAACTACTTCCTTTCCTGAAAATATCGGTCTTAACCTTGGTGCAGCCCAGCAAACACATAGGACTTACTACCACCAGGACTTTCTATCCACACCTTTGCTCTGAAGTTGGAATAAGGGTTTCAGGCTTCATGAATTTACAGATTTGTACTTAAAGTTTGTGACTTGTCCAAGCACGTGCTTTTGCTTTGGCCCCTGGGTTCTCCTCCTGCTCCTGCACCAACAAGTTTTCTGTAAGTTACTCAGTCCTTTTCTTGTTTTTTAGGGGTTGGGGTCCTTAGGGGGATTTGCTACTTATTTTTTCCGCTCCTACCTTTTTTTGTAATTCTCCTGCTGAGTGCCTAGAACTGAATATATTGCAATGCCTGCTGCTATTGAGACCTTGTAAACAGCTCTGATTAAGGATGCAAGATTGCCAGCAGGTTTCTCCAGTCTCTGCTGATCATAGGAGCACATGGCTGATTATATCTATTAGTGCCCTTTTATCCCAAAGGAGGACAGAGCACTCTGCACTTTGCTAGCCTCATCCACGGCTGAGCTGCAGCTGTTTCTGGGGTAGGGCACAGGGCATTACCACACTCTGCTTGCTGTTCTGTAAGCCAAGTACTTTGTTATTTATGTAAGTCTTGACTCAGTGACTCAGTTGTATTTGGACTTCCATCTAAACAGTCCACTGGAGACATTGCAGGGGCAGAAGAGCCAGCAGCAGGCTGCTTTTCCTGAGAGCTGCTGAGAGGTGGGCATGTTGGTCCCTCCCTGGCCAGTACTGAGCAGCAGTGAGACCACGTTGCTCTGCAGGGAGAGACATCGTGCCAGCCTGGGTAGGGATTGTCTGTGCTCAGACATTCCACCAGTCTTCCTTTCAGTTTAGAATAAATTTTTTTAAAAAGTTTTCTGCATGCTGCAGCTTTATTCTTCTGACTGCAGTGACCAGCCACAGGTTTGGGCACTGCCTGCATCCCACAGACACTGTCTATGTGGTCTCTCTTTGGTTCTGTTATTGCTCTACAATGAGTCACTCAGGCCAAAGGCCTGTGGGAGCTCCAAGTCCTGCAAGCTCAAGAACAAAACCTTGGCAAGGGATACTTGCTGACTGAAGGACTCCTTTGTTGTGGCTGGAGCATCAAGCCATGGCACAAAGGGAGCTGATTCTCTTCCAGCTTTTAAAGGGTTAATGCCTGCAACTCAGACATTCTGCCAGTGATGGGGGGTGGCATCATCTGTCCTGGCCTGACTGCCCGGTTTTCTTTTGCCAGGTCATCATTGAGAGATACAAGGGGGAGAAGCAGCTGCCTGTCCTGGATAAGACCAAATTCCTTGTCCCCGACCATGTCAATATGAGCGAATTGGTAAAAATTATCCGGTGAGTGAAGCATCCCAGGAACAACATGCCATGAGCCAGCCTTCGACTGTGTGCCCTGAACACAGGGGTGCTGCACTCCAAGGGGACTGCAGGCTCTGAGCAGGTGGGACCATGGCCTGGCTGTTACCTTGGGACACAAGGAGGTGGTTTCAAGGAGGAGTAAGTGGCCCTGAAGGTGGTGTTCTTGGAGACCAGATTTAGATACTCCCTTGTCTTCTGTGCAGACAGGGACACGAGTATTTCTTACCTGTCATAGAACATCTGGAAGTAAACAGGTGTCATTGGCTTCTGAGGAGTTGTACATGACAGAGCAGGTCTATCCTATTGGATTTAGACAGTCTTGTCTAGCTGTGAATTTGATTCCAGGTGACTAGACCATGATGTGCACATGTGTACTTGTTGGGCAGTAGAGAGGAGGTTGCAATGGAAGGGCGGGTGTAATTCTAGTGGCAGCTTATCCCAAAGGAGGACAGAGCACTCTGCACTTTGCTAGCCTCATCCAGCCAGTTTGCCCTGGGGGCTACCATACAGTGTACCCTCCCTGCTTACTGTGTTTATAGCCCAGGGATCAGCCCCTGTCAGAGGGGAAAGCAGAGGGAGTGCCCCAGATCTCAGAGGGCACTGATTCTAAAGTCAGTATTTGAACTTAGGGGTTCCCAGCTTTGTTCCAGGGCTCAAACCACTGCACCCAGCCTGGCTCAAAACCATAGTTTTGAGACTGTAGCAGCCATTTGGTCTACAGTGAGCAGATGGGTGCACTCCTGGCAGCGCTGCTGGCCTACCTAGTTCAGGAGTGCCCTGGGGAGGGAAGGCAGTGCACCAGGCAGGACTGGAGCATCTATTTCAGTAGGCAGAAAATGTTCCACTACCAGGAGCTCTGGGAAGCCAAGAGTTCTGAGTCCATCTCCTGTCCCTTTCTCCAGGGGCTCAGACCAGGAGAGAGTCTACCTAAGAGAAGAGCAGAGGCCTTCCTTCACTTTGCCATGGACAGCAATGCTGGGGTAGCCCACTGAACGGGGGTGGGGAGAGCTTTGAAGTCTTGTTAAGTACATGGATACAAAAGCAGCTGAGCACAGCTCCACACTTGCCTTGAAGTCCAGGGATGACCACATCAGCACAGGAGCTCTGCTAGGAGGTGGCCCTGGCTGGGCAGGTGTGGGCCCAGCTTAGCATCTGTTCTCCAAGAGCAGGTGCTAGTGCAAACTGGAGAGCAGGATTGCCAAGGTCTGGTACCTATTCAGCATATGGGGGCTTCTTGGCCACCCAGGTCCCTTGTGGGGGGTGCTGCTAGGCACTTCCTTGCCAGTCCTAGGCTGGTCTAACCACCCTTCCTCCTCTGTCACCCTCAGGCGCCGCTTGCAGCTGAACCCAACCCAGGCGTTCTTCCTCTTGGTGAACCAGCACAGCATGGTGAGCGTCTCCACCCCCATCTCAGAGATCTATGAGCAGGAGAAGGATGAGGATGGCTTCCTCTACATGGTCTATGCTTCGCAGGAGACTTTTGGCTACTGAGACCCAGAGAGAGACAGCACTTGGGGATAAACCAAGACTGTTGCACACAGGCCCTTCCCTAGGACAATGCAGCCAGAGGCTCATGGCACAGGAGCCATGCAGATCCCCCATCCCACCTGCACCTGGAACGCAACTGATGAAGCTAGTTCAGTGCATTTGACTTGAGAGCCCCCGCCCTTTGTGTAGATTAGTCCCCATTCCCCACATGCTGCACCAGCCACGCGTCTCCCCATCCCACTCCCCATTGTGAACTGCAGCTGCTCTTAGTGTGCTCTGTAAGTTTGTGCGTGTGTGTGTGTGTGTGTGTGTGTGTGTGCATTTTCTTAGCCTAATGCCAAAATGGTTGGGCTGGTGGCAGGGAGAGGGTGCTGCCTCCTTGGCCTTCAGCACAGGGAGGGGGTCGTCCTCCGAGACTAATAAAGGGCAGGCAGTCTGCAAAAACAAACAATATCATTGCTCTTTGAGTTCTAATGTTAATTACACGCATATCAAATTCTTGGTGCTACCGAGTAGATGTAGGCATCTCTATAGGACTGTGGATAATGTATATCCTTTAGATTTATTTTATTAATTTGTTTTGGAACTGGGAGAGGGGGTAATTTTGCCTGTATCATGTAGATAAATAAACTGAGCTTCTTTGCACTTTAAAGCGTAGTAGATGCAAGAGTGGAGTTACCCTAATTTATATAGATCTGACATATACGGCACTGCTTCTCTGTCAACATTTGTACCTTGGTTTCTTGTGTTCTCTCTTTTTTTAAATAAACCCAATCCTTCCCCCTCTCTCTCTGTTGCATGTGGTTTTTTGTGGCAAAGAGACAGTTCACTTGTGGAATGTACTGATTTATATTTGCTACATATCTCCCCCTTTTTTCATGTACTATACCAAAAAATTGTATATGAAAAAATATTCCACCCAGTTAAATCTATACAAAAGTGTGCGTGCGTGCGTGCGTGCGTGTGTTCTATGGATCCCTTTCCTGAACCACACACACACACACACACACACAACATTAATTTAAGTTGTGTCTTATAGGAATTTTCTGTTCCCGTCTGGTTTGTTCACCCTGGTGTGAGAGGGAGGGCGGGGGGCAATGCATTTTAGAGACCCAATTCTTGGTGTCCTCTATGCTGGAGCAGCCTGTACGCAGGGTTTAAACAGAGCTGTGATCATCAGACTTGTGGAATTGCAGATTGGTGGATAGAGCATAGGGGAGAGATTCAGGAGAGCCACGCTGTTCTTGGCTCTGCCTTCTGAGTGGCTTCTTGGTCAAGTCACTTTTCCCATAGTGCCTCATTTCCCTTTTCTGTGGGGATAATTAAACTGGCCTGTGCTTTGCAAAGCACTCTGTGATCAGTGTGTGAAAGTGCTGTATAAAGCTGCAAGGCCTGTTGCTTAGGTTTGGTTGTATGGATCCCTTTCCTGAACTAACGAATCAAACCAGATTGTCGCTTACAGGGATAACAGAAGTCCTGTGCACAGTGGGCTGCTGGCTGATTGCAGGGTGGGTCATTCCTGTGGCCAGACTTACCTAACAGCTGTGGCAATAGATGCCATAGGGCCAGATTCTCTTCTGCTGTTGTCAGTGGAGTGACCCCTCCCTCCCGTGAAGTCAACAGTTACTGTCAGGTGGGAGGAGGTTCAGGCCCACAGGAGCTGGAGTACTCACTCTCCCAGGGCGGGACTGTTCTTGCATCATTCTCTAGGCTGTAAGATGTACCGGTTCTCTCCTGGGCACATATCAGAGGTGGTCCCCATGGTGTCTCAGTCCTGTATATAAGCTGCCATAGCACCCTCTTCTGTTCCACTTTCCCATTTCTCTTCACCTGCCACTTGTGTCACTCACTGACATCCCTCCACTCAAAAGCTGCTGGTTTGCTAGGCATGGTGGAGACCTGCCCCAGTCCAGGTGCTGTGGAGCTGCTGGCTGCTCTCCTAATGACACTCTGGGCTCAGTCACTGCCAGGATCATTCTCTCGTGCTTTCTCACAGCAGCTGCCCATCAGTTCCCCTGTCCTCCACATGGCCCCAAATTCTCCTTGTTTGAAATCACTGGGCACAGCACACTGAGCTTGTTCCTGGATGCTTTAAAGACATGTGGTCCAGCTCAACTGATGTTGGCACCTATGAAGCTGTAGCCGGAGTGGGTTGGGAGAGAGGCAGTGGGGGGGCACTCCTGCAGCATGCAGGCCTGGGCTCATGTTTTGGGTGGCCTTCAAGCAAGACAGCATCTGTCAAGCCCTTTGTTTCCATGAGGATTGAAGCAAGAACAAGACTCCCCCCTATCCCTCTGCCCACCACACCTAGGACAAAGCAGGCTGCAAGCAGATTCAGTGCACACATGCTTGGGGAGGAGGGAGGCACAAGCAGCCATGTGCCAGAGTGGAAGGGAAGACCCTGTAGGTCCTTGTGCCCTCCCCAGCTGCTGCTCAGTGCCTCCTTCCTGCCCGTGGCAAGAGGTCAGATGGCAGCCACACGCACCTGTTCCCTGGTGGGGGCTCCTCTCCACTCTCTGTACTCTGCTCTCCCTTGTGGTTCTGGGCACTGTGGGACCTGAGCAATGAGAGTGCCCTATGAGCCTGCAAAGTACTGTGCTGCTATGCAAAACTGATAGGGATGCCTCCTGGTACCTGATACCATGCAGTGGTCGAAGCACATCGCACATAACTGGGCTGATGATCCCCTACCAAGATCCCATCCCATCCACCAGGAGGGGATGGACTGACCCCCACTTCTCCCCACAAGCACACACACCACAGCCCTACAATGATCATTAATGTTCAAATTAATCTTCCCTGTTTCAGCAATTGTACACTCTCCTAAAATCATTGTGTGTCTTACCATGTTACCACTGTGTACTGATACAATTACCCTGCATGGGGGGTCTTACCTCTCTTTCTATCATAGCATGGTATTGGAGCTTCTTAATGCCTTTGCTCTAGGCTGCATGCTTTAGATTGCATCAACATATAGCAACTATACCCACGTAGCTACTCTACACAGGACCGATGGTACTCTATAGAGCCATGTCAGTAACCATAGCTTTAAACATTTTCTAATGATGTTTTGTATCTTTTCACATGGCTGAGGTTGAAACTTCGGCTTTTCTGCCCAACTGGGCCAATTTTCATCTGCTCGCAGGCAAGCAGGCGGGGGGGAGGGGGGCTTTCCTGCCTCACATCCAGCACAGACACTGATGGTACAGGCTACATGGAAAGCCATAGCCCATCTTAATTTTTGAGCTGCCAGGATCTCTTCCATAGGCTTTGATGCGAGAGAGCCTGCTGCCTCCTGCTTCACTTCTTGGGGCAAGATCAGGTAAATGGTTATAGGCTGTTAGCACCCCACCATGTTGTAACTACTGCTGAAACACCCTCCAGCTTGAGCTTTACAGTTTAGAGAGACAAAGACTGAGCAGGGGCAGAATCAAGAGATCCCCCACCCAAGGCAAGTCTGCACTGCACTGAGCCCAGAGAAGCTGACGAACGGGGCCAGGCTGTCACATGTTGTGTGGGCTCAGTGTAGCTTCTTTGCCCAGATGAAGGACTGTGGGGAGCAGGGGAAGTCAAGTCACAGTGCTAGTGGAAGGAGCTCAGGCCTGACTAGGTAAGTAACACAGGGCACATCCACACATGCAATTAGTGCAGCGGAATAAACCCCGATGCATTTTGCGCCGGGGTTGATTGCTCCCAGGCACAGCATTTACACATGTGCCTGGGACCACAGCCCCAGCTGGCAGAGAGTTCAGGGGGTCAGCCTGTCAGCCTGGAGCTGCTGCTCTGCCCTGGCTCAACGTGCTGCAGAGGGGATGGCTGGGGCATGAGGGTATTACCGTGAGGGGCTAGCTACCAGGCAGCCCTGCACTGTAGCACCCTTGTGCCCCAGCCATCCCTGATCACATCTACACATGTGTTGTGGTGCACTAAACTCTGCCGTAGGACAGTACTTGTGTTGGGCAGTACTGTCCTACAGTGGAGTTAATTAGTTTACTGCAACCTAATAGCACTACATATGTATGTATGTGTTAGGAGAAAGGGAGAAAGAGCCATGATACAAAGTTGATACTAACTGGATGAAAGCAACTGTGTGGTGACTGTTTGCAGCCAGGTAGTCAGATACTGTTACAATACCTGTTGGCACATAGATGAAAGAGGGGAAAATCATCTGAATAAAACATCTTTTGCTGCCTCTCTCTACTCCTGCAGCTACTGACAGGGGCCTTGTGCCTAAGCTACTACCCTGATCCAGCTCAGACCCCCCCTGCTTTGGGACAAAGATACATACCCTGTGAGCAGTGCCGGGAGCCAGGAGCTGTCCACAACTGAGATAACTATTGCTCTGCCTTGTGAAGCACTGACAGTCCTGGATGATGTGCCAGTTACAGACTCATTTTTGCCCCCTCAAACAGGTCTCTGAACAAGGCAATTTCTTCTCTGACCTTTGGATAAAGCCAGTGCCTGTCAACTGAAGAGCGCATGATAACACCATTACCTCACCCCCTGAGCAAGGAGCAGCCTATGTTACTGTAAATCCAGCGAGATCTTCACCTGGCCAAGGCTGGTATATAACACCACATATAACTCAGGTGCAGACACCTGGCGAGCAAATGTGGGCATTTCCCATTGGCCTGTCTGCAGGAAAAGTTTCAAGCAATCTTGAAAAGGAACAAGGCTGGCATATTTAAGTCCTCAAATTGAAGGACATATGACCCAAATGCAAAATGTGGCCTGCGGGGCCCCCTAAAACATTTAGAAAATTAATATGTATCTGCTCCTGGCTGCCTGTCATGCGGCCCTCGATGGCTTGCCAAAACTCAGTAAGCGGCCCTCTGCCTGCAATGGGAGCTAAAATGTTTTCAGGAACCTTAAAAAACACTCATTTGTAATGTCCACTCATTTGCGTCTTCACAGACATCTGCTTACCTTATGTTCCTTTCTACCTTGGAGATCTCAGAAGAGCAACAGAGTCTCCCTATGCCTAGGGAAGGGTGTTTGTGCCCAAAAGCTTGCAAAGAACTTTTTTCTAACTTTAGTTGGTCTAATAAAAGATATCACATCTACCCAAAGACCCTTGCCTTAAAAAACACACATACTTGTGACCAGGAAGAATTATTTTGGCTTAAATATTTTCCCAGAGAGCTGGAAACTACCAAACATTTCAGGTTAATTGTGCCTTAAATAGGAACCTGGCCATACATGCAAGTCAATTTAAACCATGGAAAGACAGAAAATGAGCCACAAAGTTTACACATGGTACATGCAACAACTTTGTGGCTTGCCTGTATCATGCTTAAATTGAACACGTGTCTGTCTAGTTGGAGCTGGATCATGACAAATCCTGACACTCAGCTGAGTGTCAGGATCCAGCATGAGATAACCCCAGGGTCTAGGACACAGTCCCTGGCAGAACCAGAGGACATGTAAAAACCTAACGTGTTGCTCAGCTGGGAATCCTGGGAATCAGACTGCGGGAACCTGATCACAGGGTCCTTCATGCCAGGGACTGTAAAAAGCCTGTGTGCTGCCCAGCTGGGAAGGACACATGGTTTTAGAAGTCCCAGAGCACAGGGACCTTAGGATCAGGCTGTGGTAGCCCAGTCCCCAGGGTTCCCATGTGCAGGGACCTGTAAAACCATATGTGCAGTCCTGCTGGGTCTTGACGATCAGCTAATTGTTGGCTGGTGCCAGGGACTGGACCAGCGCCAGTTCCAGATCCTGGTTCAGTCTCCAGCCAACTGCCAGTCAGTGGATTAGTGGCACCAGGGTTTCAACCTGCTGGTGAA